CAGTAATCCACTAATCCAGTATCCGATAGACAGATATTGGATAAAATAATAAAATATCAAAAATTAAAATCACAAATTCAAAACTCAAAACTCAAAAACCAAAACATAAGGGCCTGTTTGTTATGTGTTTTACTTTGGTGTTTTTGTTGCAGGGCTTCATTTTAGGCCCAAAAACATGTTTGGTGACACTTATTTTGTTTTAAACAGTACAAAAATATTGTTTTAAACAGTGCTGAATTTGGGTCCAAAAGTGAAACACCAAAATGGTGTTTTTGGTTGTTTCAGTACTGTAGCCCAATAAAAAACACTATAGCGGATGAAGTAAGTTGGTCCAATACTGTAGCGGATGAAGTAGCCTTAAAACGGATTTGCAACATTTTGGCCCGATGTTTTCTCTCTCCTCTGAAACCCTAGAGAAGCGATTTGGGAGGCGACAAAAAGGAATCGCTATATACTGTGAGTACTGTCTTCTATTTCCCTTTCTTTGTTGTTTCCTTTGATGTTGTTTCCAAATCTGCAAGCACGAAGTCCAAATCTGTAAGCTTGCACGCAGTCCACGAGATGAGCTGATTCCACACCCTCGTCTCGTCTTGTCCCCCCACTCATCGTGCCCACTCTCTCTCTCTAAAACCCATACTCTAAACAAACAATTTCTCTCTCTATAAGACAGCTCTGCGACTGCCCATTACTCCAAACCACAAAATAATCCTATATCATATTTCAGTCTCTATATATATATATCATTGTCACTGCTTATCCACATATAATCTTTCTTTTTTGTTTCATTTTGAATTTGAGAATCAGAAAATTCGTTCAAAGTGGGGTTATGATGGCTCTGAATTTACTCTCTCCAACAGAAATCAAGACCATTTCGTTTCTGGACTCCTCTAAATCCAATCTTCACCTCTTCAAGCTTCAAGGTTCCCCTCTCTCTCTCTCTCTCATGTCTCCCTATTTTGAGTTAGTGAATGATTAACATTCCACTACATTATGACTACTTGCACTCTTAGAATAATTTAATTTCTGTACCTTCTGTAATTATTTTTATTTTTTTTTATGATTTTCTGTTTATACCCACTGAAGAAAGATTATGTTTTTGTTGTTTGTAGGAGCACTAAATTAGTTGCTGTTTTATGGATTAATTCAAAGTGGGTGCTTAACAGCTGTTGATTTTTATTTCTTGTGGTTATGTTTTGAATATATATGCTGCTAAAATATTGGGTTGCCAGAATTTTTTGATTCCCTGATGTCACTGTTATATCTTGGTATTTTGATACCACTTTGGTGGTTTTGGTCTGAAAATATATTGGATAAACTACATTTTTTTATCATGTGGAGAGGTGGGAGTACACTGGCTTTTGCATTTGATTCTTGTTTTGTTTATTGGTTTCTTACATATGAGAGGAGGTGAAACAAGGACTTCTCGAGACTTTCTTGAGTTCACTCAATAGATTTTCATAAATACAATCAATCTCTATTCATCAATAATAATAATAATAATAATAAATCAATCTCAGGAATATCAAAGTACAATCTTATGATTTTTGAACTCTGTATATTTTAAAGTTTTCTTCACAATATACAATAACCTGAATTGTAGAGTTTTACAAAATTAGTTTTCTAATATTTTCATGTACTTTAAAGCTTAATTGTGTATATCACCTTTTTTATTGGTATTATTCAATTCTGCTTGGTTCTAGGGATTCAAGTCTTTTAGTTTGTTGGGTGGAGCTAGGTACAATCATAATATATTATGTACAATTCTAACATGTAACAATGATTGTATTTGCTTCTTTATGTTCCTCTGTTGCAAGATTTGATTGTGGGAATTCTGAAGTACGACCGGTAATTTTCTCCTTTCACTTAGTAATTTAAGTTTATCTCATCATGTATAATTTAAAATGTGTGCATGATGCAATCTGTCTTACCAAGAGAGGACGATCAAAACATTGTTTACAACAAGATTGAAATTGAAAAGTAAAGAAAACAGCCAAAAAAAAGACAGGAAATAAATGAATCTTAAAAACTGAACCAGAAAACTGATTTAATAATGATTCTCCAAGCCTTAGGTAGCCTAATATATAAGAATTTTTCTATGTTACATGGACTTGGATATATGTACCCGTGCAAGTGTGTGTCCATGTGTTGGACCTCCCTAAATCCCAAATCTTAGGATATATGGAGCTGCCTTGAAATGGGTCCAAAATTTGGATACATTACATGGACACATCTTGTATATTTAAATACATAATTTGCTATATAATAGCGTAATATATGATGCAGTTTATTATTTAAAATTGTACTCCATCGTATTCAAGTTAAATAGAATATGGTGAAAAATAGAGGATTCCATCTATCCTAAAATTAGGGAAGACGTTTTTGCATGTTCGATTTAAATACGTGTGTTGGACACATCCTATACTCATATCATGTCCTATTGTGTCGGTGCTGAGGGTGCGACTATTTGTCCTGGTGTTGGACCTCTCTAAATCCCAAATCTTAGGGTACATGGAACTGGCTTGAAATGGTCCAAAATTTGGATATGATACATAGGCATTAGAATTACAATTATTTGGTATGCTTTGCAGAGTAAAGAGGAGGAACAAGAGGTGCACAATAACGCAAATCATGTATTCAGTTTACAGAAGGATACATTACATAACAATATATAATAAGCCCTAAACTAATAAACTAAGGAAAAGACAATAGTAACCTCAAATAATAAAATAAATCGTACTTTAACCCCCTTAAACTCACGATGTAACAGAGAGAAGCATTGCGAGTTTGCCTAGAAGAAAACGAAAACACATGATAGTGTGGGACTTTGTGAAGAAGTCAGCCAACTGCATAGTAAAAGAAACAAAGGGCAGAGAAATAGTGCCAAGTTGAAGGTGTTGGCGCACAAAATGACAAGCAATCTCCACATGCTTCATGCGCTCATGAAAGACAGTTGTGTGCAATCTGAATTGCAATCTTGTTTTCACAATACATAGGAATAGGAACACAAAGAGTAACACCCATATCACCAAGCAACCATCGAAGCCAAACTATCTCTGCTGCCATGGCATGATACTCAGCAAGGAGCGAGCAACAACTGTCTGCTTCTTGTTTTTCCAGGATATGAGAGAGTCATGTAGAAAAATACAAAAGCCAGTAGCGGACTTATGATCGGTTGGAAATCCGGCCCAGTCAAAATCAGAAAAAGCTCGAAGTTCCAAAGCAAAAGTGGAGGAAAACAACAAACTCTGATTTAAAGTACCCCGAAGATAACGCAAAACTTGGAGAACTGCAGCCTAGTGAAGTGTAGTAACAATGTGTACTGCATATGTAAGATCAGCATCAGCCTGATGACATATTTGATGGTAATGATCCTCCTCAAAGTGATGGTGTAGATGATGAGATTGTTGAGCATGTGCCTTTAGCTCAGCTTCGAGAAATGGATCAGTTGCGTAATACTATTGCTGATCAAATTTGGAATTCTCTTCAGCACTCTTGATCCTTCTGAAAGTGATGGTATATTTTTTCTTTTATATGCAATATATTTGTTGCTATTGTGAGCTTGCAATATATATATGCAATATAAATCTTTTTTACAGATATATAATTCAACTTAAATGCTATTATTGCAGATATGAAGTGTGTTGATGCTCTCTTGAAGGCCACATGTGCTGTTATGAAGATGATGTGTCGTTGCCATTGTCATCCACTTTATGAACTTCTTATCAATTTTTAGTAACAACTATGTATTGTTAATGCTTTGTTCCAAACATTTTATGTACAACTTAAACTTGTTTAATTTGTTGGTTGAATATTTAAGGACTTGTAAATGTTATACACTCTATTTCAATTATGCTTTCAATTGAGTTTGTTTTTATTTTAATGTTGTGTTGGACTATACAGGTATCAGGATAATAAAATTGAAGCAGGTTATTGCAAAGAACTTGTAAATAGGTCATTGTAAATTTTTTTTACAAATATTGACTCTCATGTAGTATTGTAAAATGTGACTAGAGATTATTTATTTTTAATGTTGAGTTGGACTATACAGGTATAATCATAATAAAATTGAAGCAGGTTATTGTAAAGAACTTGTAAATAGGTTATTACAAATTTTTTTACAAATGTTGACTCTCATGTAATATAGTAAAATGTGACTAGAGATTATTTATTTTTAATATTGAGTTGGACTATACATGTATAATGATAATAAAATTGAAGCAGGTTATTACAAATAACTTGTAAATATGTTATTACAAAAATTAATATATATATAATTTGGTGGGGGTTTACATTTTTTTACAAAAGAGAAGGCAAGAATCTGTATTTTGGAGTTAAATTCCCACCAATGCAAACTTATAAGAGTCGAAAATTATTATCAGAGCTGTGTAGTATTTTTTTTTTTTCTTTTTTCGCTAATGCGAAAAATGAGCAAAATGAATGAAACACAAACCTATGGACAATCATCACCAAAGGAACAAACTATACCAGGAAATTTCAAATAACTTAAAGTGTAGTTTCAGATCAAGATAACATACTCTGTGTGTGTGTGTGTGTGTGTGTGTGTGTGTGTGTGTGTGTGTTTGTGTGTTCAAATTTTAATATATTTATTAAAAATATATAGACTATTTATATAGAAATAAATTTATAAATAAATTTAAAATTTATAAAAATAAATTAAAAACAATGATAACCAAACATGTTTTTTGTTTCTGTTTTATTTTGTTTACAACAGTTGGAGCTACCAAACATGTTTTGTTTTTAAAATTCTTGAAACGCATAACTTACCAAACATGTTTTGCATGTTTTTGTTTCCGACATTTCTACAGTAAAAGATCGTTCCCAAACGTGCTTCCGATTTTTGCCAAAACACTCCAATAGTAAAAACGCTATTTTTGTTTTAGCCAAAAACAAAACGCCTAAAGTAAAACGCATGCCAAACGGGCCCTAAGTTTACCTAAGTTCCTAACCTCTCAAGTCTCGAACTTATTGCGCAGCTCCGCCTCCTCTCCTCTCCTCTCAGCCTCTCGGCCTTCTCAGGCTCTCACTATCTTAAGTCTCAACTCACTGGTCTCTACTCTCTATCTTCTCAGAACTCAGAAATCTCTTCGGACTCGCCCCAGATCACAGTCTCTATCTTCTCAGATCAAGTCTCAACTCACTGATTCGTGGATTCGGTCGGATCGGTCTCTGTCTTCTCAGATCGTCGGCTTCCGGTCTCAGTTTGGTAGGTATTTCGTAGCTCTCTTATCTTCTCAGATCTTTTGCTTTTAGAATCGTGAAAATGGATTGTGGATACAAACTTCTTATATGCGACTGCTCTACTTGGGAGTTGGGGGTTTAGGGTTTGTTTGATCCATCCATCTTGTTCATATTTTTGGGGGTTTAGGGTTTTTCCATCAATTAGTCCTTTGGTTTGATTTGGGTCCTTTTCGATTTCTCTCTCTGGTGAATGATGATCGATCAATTGGTCTTTTCATTTTTCAAATCTTTTTCTGGATTTTGACCCAAGCTATTACAATCTAGTGTCCGGAGCTTTTCTTACTAGTTTTGTTTGCTGGAAAGTGGAATCCATCCTAAAGAGTTCGTCTAGACATGGGCAGAATTATTGTGGGGGTTGTTGGTTAATTTGGTGCATATTGAATCTATTTTTTTTTTTTTAAGGAAAAAAAAAAAAAAAAAAAGGCTCGACTGTGACATGTTCTTGTTGTTACAATCCGTTTTTGGTTGAACATTATTGTTACTTGTTACTTGGGTTTTTCTGCTTCTAATCTCTTTTGGAACTTCTTTGAAGGCTTGGATTTGTTGAGATTTGATGATTTTTTTTTGCTTTGCTCCTGATATTGAATCTGGAAGTTATCATCACATTTAGATTCAATTTTTGGTTGAACATTGTTGTTACTTGTTACTCGAGTTTTTCTTGGTTTTTTTTAAAAGGTTGACAAAGGTGGGGAAGATGCTTTCTGTGTGAGCAGCTACAATGGAGGAGTCACTGCTGCTGTTGCTAAATGAATTGTTGAATGTTGATTCAGTTTTTTTTTTTAACTTTTTTGTAATTCTAGTGGAGTAACTGAATTTATTTATGTTATTGTATTTGTATTTTTTTTTTTAAGGAAAATTAAAATAATATTGAAAAAGTAAGATTGGTCAATGGTTTCACGGTTTCGGTTCCACTGCCCATGGTTCCGGTTCCTGTTTCATTTTTTAGGAACCGTTGAGACCGGTTCCGGTTCAAAGGAACCGAACCGTGTGCACGCCTAGGTATTGAGTGGTGAAATGTTCAGAAATAAATTGGTAATTTTTTTATTAATTACCCAAATAGGATTTTCTATACCTTAATCAGTCAATTGTCTAACGAAACATTGTTAGTTAACTAAAATTGAATTAAACAACAGTTGGTTTTGGTGGATATATTTTGATTTTGCCCACTCCATTGAGAAATCTCGGATGTTTTGTTTCACATAAAAATACAATATGTGTAATGCACGAAGAATTTATTTAATCTTTCTGCCAAAATTTTATTTTCAAATTTTGGTTTTTGATTTTCTTTTGTTATTAGAATGCAGAATATCATGATATTGATTTGTTAATTTTGAAGATTATTCCTAAACTGATGCATTGTACTTTGTTATTGGATTAATTTAACATAAGAGTTGAGTATAATGCGTGCTAATCACACCTATCTGTAGTCAAACCTTTTTATACGGATATGTGTCCAACATTTTGATTGAAAGCATAATTGGGTTTGGTTGATACATGATACAGATAATACTTAGATGGTGGTGTTTTAATTGTTACGAGTGAGATTGTGAAACCTCTTCCTCACAACTTGAGTGTTTTCTTATTTTTAGGGTTAGCATCGGGCCTTAACATTTAGCAAGAACAAGGTGTAAGAAACATGTCTCCTCAGTCATCAGGTAACAAATTCTTACTTTTTCTAAAATTTTAATTGGCATTTTTAGCTATTGGTTACGTTTATTTATTTATGTTTTACATACTGATTTTTTGTTTTTGTTTTTGTTTCTGCATACATATATATAATATTGTTATGATGTGATGCTCAGACAATTTATTAATGGGAATTAAAGACTTGGAGGTTTAGTTTTCAATTTTAGAATATATGTTTTACAAGTTTATTAACGTTTTTAAAACTTTTCCTCTTTTGTCCTAATAATATAGGTCTATTGTCTGAAAGAAGAGAGTTGATGGGAATGGGTGGAGTCGGCAAAAAGAAAACAGGTACGTTTTTTTTGCCTAGCTAATTGAATTATATAAATCCCTTTACTGATTTAGCAGTGATGTTGGTTTTAAAATGACCAATCATGATAGGAAGTCTCTTTGTAGTTTATCTTAATAAAATGTATATCTAAGAGGATTGTGTGATTCTAGATGACGATGTTAATGTCAACGTTATAAGGATGTTGATGTCGACATTGACATTGACTCTAATGATGACGACTGATGATGTTGATAATATGTTGATGCACCCAAATTAAGTCAAAGCACTTAGAATTGAAGTAAATTTAGAGTTGAAGACATACTATTGAGCATAGTGTCTAATTCTTTTAGTTACAAGAATCTTTGGTCACTTCACACACGATTTTTCAATTCCTGAAATTCTGAAACAATGGTGTGTAATATGATTATTCTTCTTCATCTCTCTAAACCCTAATTTTATCTGTGTAAAAGAAAAAGAAGACTATGCAATTTTAATTTATAGGCCTATGGGCCACAAAAAAACAAATAGTATTTTTAGGGCAAATCATTTCGGCCTCCCCAATCGCCTCCAACTCTATTCTTGTTCTCTCACTGAACTTGCTTCTCTCTCTCTACAACTGCAAACTACAAAATCTACAAGAATCAGAAGTTCAAAACCCATATATTTCAGTTTATCTTCAAGAATCAAAAGTTCAAAACCTATTCCTTATATCAAAACCCATATCGGCATTTGATCCGGTAATATATATTTATTGTACTGATAGCCCTCTCCCGGTTTTGCCTATGTCTCTTGCTAATAACTTAAATGTTTAAATTTTTAATTGTTCAAGTAGCTTGTAACTGGTTGTCGATTAATAGAGGACTGTGAGTCAAATCTCTTACTTCAGAATTTTCCAATAAACTAAACTCTACACCAAGCATCCAACTACTTTAATCACCTTGTAGCATAGAGACCCATGTGTCCATCCTGTAGCTTAAAATGCAATATTAGCACCCACTGATTGATTATAGGAACGATTTTTCAGATCACATTTGTCCATTACCTTTGTAATGTTTTTGTTTATTTTATTTCTTGTCTTGTGTGTGTATTAATCTAATTTTGCTTATCTAAAGTAGTTTATTATTTTTTTTTTCCCCAAGGTACCTTCCTCTATTTCTTTTGTTTGTGTTTAATACTGTTGTGTACCATTGAGAATAAGGAATCCAAAGCAAAGGTTATATTTGTGTAGTTGTTAGCGATATCTCATTACTTGACAATGTCTTGAATGAAAAACATAGTGTCTACATAGTCTAGTCTAATTGCTTTTTTATTTTTTGTGGGCTTTGGCGCCCGAAACATACTGTTAATGATTTTTCAGATCACATTTGGTTCGGTAACGCATATTCCAATAAACTAAACTCTACACCAAGCGTCCAACTAATTTAATTGCCTTGTAGCGTAGAGACCCATGTTATGTGTGTCGATCCGGTAGCTTAAAATGGAATATTATTACCCACTGATAGGCTATAGGAATGATTTTTCAGATCACATTCGTCCATTACCTCTGTAATTTTTTGTTTATTTTTTAATACGGTTTATTATTATTAATATTATTTTTGCGGAACAGAATTACGAAATGGCGGTGGGTTAAGGTTTCTCCATTTTATTCAAATGCATCGACTTATGAGGTATGCGAGTTTTTTTGTCTCTTTTTTTTCATCTCCCTTGATTGGATTATTGTCTCCCCTCCTAACCAAACAATGCCACAGGCTATGTAAAATACATTTTGTTTTGTCCACTAATGGATATTTTTATATTTAGTTGGTGAAATCTGGTAGAGAGTTTTTTTTTTTTTTTTTTTTTTTTTTGAGAAAACGTGTTGTGAAATTAATATTTTTCTTTGGTGGTTTTTTGCACCTCTTGCGACGCAGAGGCTTTTTAAATTTCCCTGGATTTTGTTTTGTGAGATTTCAGTCTAATGCTTCATCTTATGGGGTACTTGTGGTGTTTTTTTTCCTTCTAATTATTTTTTTTCACCTCATTTGAATTTTTTTTTTCTTTTTTTGTTGAAGGAAAATAAGTTGATTTTAAGGACCGAGTTTGTGCAACTGGCGGTACAGTAGTTGGGTTAATGAATGATGCGAGGGAGGCTGAAAAGGAGAAGATATCTTCAATTCTGTCTTCAAAGTGGTTTCATATAGTTGATACGGAAACCCCTCTGATTGAATCTATAGAAGCTGTGGGGCCGCGTGAATTAAAGAAAGGCCGTATTAGAGCGTACTGCAATGGCGGGTACAACCACGAGACTGACATAGATAGCATTGGTATGTATTTTAATTTCAATTCAAATTCTTTTTTAATTGTTATTTTCGTAAGGGCCTCAAGATTGCACTTTCTAAATATGAAAATTACAGAGATTTTAAAGTCATTTCAGACTGTGGCAACGTTGTGGATTCGTTGAGGCCGATTCCTAAGCGAAGGACCAGAGTTTCCCAGGGGCCTGATCAAAGGGCATAGCTACCAAGGAGAAGAATTTTCCTGATGGGTATGTATTTTAATTTCAATTCAATATTTGTTATTTTCATTATTACTGGAGGGTTGGAAATTTATTGCCAACATTCATTAACCCAACCACTGATTATTGTGTTTTGGGCAGTGATTTTAGAGGCAATTTTCTCTTCATAAAAGTGTCATTAAGATTCAAATTAATCACAGGATACGGGATGGGGTCAAGCTTGGCTTTGCTTAAGTGAAATTTTAAGGGTAGTTCGTCTTCATATTTAAATAAGATGTTTGCTAAAGTGAAATTGTAAGGGTAGTGTCTCATTTTTAAATAAGATGTCCTGGGTCTGACCACCCCTTGAAAAGAAAAGTTATATTGTAGCCGCCCATGGTCGTGAATGGGTGCGTTTTGCACGGACGGTTGTGCTTGGTGTACTGGGCACAGTGAATATTTATACAAGTCCTTGTATGGATGCGTTTTGAATGGACGGTTGTACTTAGTGCACTGTGAACACTGAATATTCATTAAAGCCTGTGATTAGACGGACCACGGCACATTAAATATCCATACATGCCCCTATATAGACGCGTTTTGAATGAACGGTTGTGCTTGGTGCATCTGCCACACTAATTATTCATTACTGATTATTCATTAACATTCATTAATGCCTGTGATTAGTGGACCACGATTAGACAGACCAACTGATTGCCTCCTTGCCATAAATAAAATCAAAGCAACCGGCGCTGGGTCGATTGGATTTTTCAATGATTGCCCTTCTCTATGTGCTAAGAATATATTAGACATAAGTGAGATGGATCGATTGGATTTTTCAATGATTGCCCCTATCCATGTGCTAAGAATATATCAGACATAAGTGAGACGTGCGAACTTTAAAATCCTTAGTTGAAACCGGTTTTTATATATATTTGATCATCATCTTTGATCCATAAAACAATTCGTAACTAGTAGATTATGTGGAGTTCCAAAAAATTAACAATTTTGCGGTATGGAAATCTTTGATAAATATCTACAAAATATATGGAGAGAGAGAGTCTATTGACAGAGATTGACCGATGGATCCGACATTGTTTGGGAATTTAAAAAGAAAATTATGGTCTTTTGCTAACGAATTTTGATATTTGGGTTTCTAGCTCCTTTTTACATAGTTTCTGTTTTGAATCACTTGGACAACCTAGACCCCTTGTCAGTTCAGAAGGCAACCAATGAATATAATGTTTTCGTACAAAAACTGAAAAAAAATTATGGATTATTGATTCTGGCCTCGATTTGGTTCTGAATTTTTTATTAATTTACTTTGACATCCTGCCTTTTTTTTTTTTATTTAAATTTTCCCGAAAAAAAAATGTATGACATTATCACAAAATTGCATATTTATAATAAATATATATTTTTAGTTATCCGGGAGAGTATGTCATACCTACTGACTGCTAACATGATCTAATCACAAATGCACAACTAATCTACAATTGTTAATGAAATCTAATTACAATATCAGAAAAATAATATATAAAGATGATAATTTTCTTTGAAATAAATTCAATCACTCCTCTCTTATTTCCAAAAATCTGATTAAAGTAACAATCCCATTAGGTGGATACCAGAGAGAGAAAGAGAGTCTTTCATGTGGATGGGTTGCAGAGAACGACCCAATTCAAACAACTTTGGATGAGGTTTGAGCTTTATCTTGGGCATACGGGCCATTGGTGGGCCGCATTTGTAAACACTTTGGGTTCAATTCATTAAACTTTGGACTTAATTAACTTTGTCAATAATGATAGCCCGCTGAGTGTAATAGTTTCTTGCCATTGTAATAAAAAATAATGTCAATAGTTTCTTGCCATTGTTAGCCACCCTTTCATGTGACTCAACTCATCTATACATATATGTTCGCTACTTATAAATGTATCACAACCAAATTGCAATGACACCCCTGACAGAAATCAGAAGGAAAAGGAAAAGGAAAACCAATTCAGCCAAGGAATTCAAGATGGAAAATGAGGGATCTTGGAATCATGACCACCAAACACTCCCTCTCCTAAAAGAAAAATGCGTAACCCTACCAAAAACAGCAGAGAGAACCGTGGTACAAAGAGCCATTAGCCAGACATTTCAAAGCAATTGTAGATTATCTTTGATACAACCATGAATAATAATAATAATTAAATAAACACTAGGGTCCTCCAGCCGGCTTCACACGCCCATGCATGATATACAGTGATATCAATATATATATATATATATATATATAATTGTAGATTATCTTTGATACAACCTTGAATAATAATAATAAATAAATAAACACTAGGGTCCTCCAGCCGGCTTCACACACCCATGCATGATAATATGATATACAGTGATATCAATATATATATATTATGTAACCAACTAATCGTGTTTAGGAGTTTCTAGGTCTAAGAATAATAGGAATTACATTGGATATATAATAACATTTTTATATGACCATAATTAAACAGCTTGAGAAAAATTATTATATGTGGCTGTCAAGTCAAACTCACATATGATAATATTCAGCCCGTCGAAGTAATATATAAGGATTAAATGACTTTTGCTTTTGTTAGGCTGACTTCAAATCCTAGTTTCTAGATAATGATTCGAAATAAATGCTGCATAGACAAGTAATCCTAGCTCAATTAATTTTTGGAGCATAAGACAAAATCATATACTTGTCTACTCGTGATTTTTCATATATTATTTCATAGGACATAGTACAAGATATATAGATACAAGAAAACTATTTTAATTATAAATACGGCTATAATTAAGTTTGACCCTTGATTGAAGGGATTCTTATATCTAAGGTTTCCATAGCAGGCTAATTATCCTCAAGTTGGTGTGTAGATATCTCTAATGCCTAACTTGTCAAGTGAATCATGAAAACTTTTATTGGAAACTGCTTTGGTAAGTATGTAAGCTAGTTAATCTTTAGATTTGATGAAAGGAAACTGAACGATCTTCTCTTCCAGGTTTTGTTTGATGAAGTGTTGATCCACTTCCACAGGCTTGGTGCGATCGTGTTGGATTGGGTTGTGAGATATGTCGATGGCAGCCTTGTTATCACAGAATACATTTATTACCGAACCAGGAGGAAAACCAACTTCAGTTAGCAAAGTTCTAAGCCACAGAAGCTCGCACAATCATTTTGCCATGCCTCAGAACTTAGCTTCAGCACTGGACAATGCCATTACCTTCTGTTTTTTGCTCCTCCATGTAACTAAGTTGCCTCCCACGAATATAAAGTACCCCGAGGTAGACTTTCTATCCAAGATGTTCCCTACCCAGTCCACATCCGTGTACCCTTCAATATTCAGATGGTCATTCTTGGAGAACATTAGTCATTTTCCTGGTGATGACTTCAGATAACGAAGGATTCGAATTACTGCACCATATGGTCTTCACTAGGACAATGCATAAATTGGCTTACTACACTCACGGCGTAAGCGATGTCTGGGCGAGTGTGTAGGTAGATGAGCTTCCCCACTAGTCTTTGATACCTCACTTTATCAGCCGGTACCTGGTTCGAGTATTCCCCAAGCCTATGGTTCTGCGCAATCGGGGTATCCACTGGTTTGCACTCTAGTAATCCTACCTCCGTCAATAAATCCAGTACATACTTCCATTGAGAAAGAAATATGCCCCTTTTTGACCTTGCCACCTCTATTCCCAGAAAATACTTGAGCCCTCCCAAGTTCTTCATTTTAAACTCATTAGACAATTGCCCTTGTAGCCTAGAGATCTCTTCGGCATCATCCCCCGTAATTATCATAGCTTCCACATAGACGATCAAAGCTATCACTTTGCCTTGTTGGTGTTTCAAGAAGAAAGTATGATCAGAATTACTTTGGTGATAACCATACTTCCTCATAGCTGAACTGAATCGGCTAAACCACGCCTGAGGTGACTGTTTTAGTCCATACAATGCCCTCTCCAATTTACACACAATTTTGGTCTCGAAAGATCTTGTATATCCCGGTGGAATGTCTATGTATACTTCCTCGTCAAGGTCACCGTGAAGAAAGGCGTTCTTCACGTCCAGTTGATGTAGTGGCCAGTCCAAGTTGGCTGCAAGAGACAACAAGACTTTAACTATATTCAGTTTGGCTACTGGTGAAAAGGTTTCCGAGTAGTCGACGCCATACGTTTGAGTAAAACCCTTCGCGACGAGCCTTGCCTTGTATCTGTCGATGGATCTATCAGCCTTATATTTTATAGAGAACACCCATTTGCTTCCTACTGTCTTCTTTCTTTCCGGTAATGAGACTAACTTCCATGTGTTATTTTTCTATAAGGCTTCCAGTTCTTCTTCCATTGCTTGTGCCCACTTTGGATCGGACAAAGCCTTCTTAACGCTGCTGGGAATATGGCAAGAGGATAGTGCTTGAGTGAAAGTCTTAAGAGGCTTGGACAGGCTTTGAGTAAACACATAATTTGCAATTGGGTACTTGGTCCTTCTTTCTTCCTCATCTGGGGTGTATCTATTTGGTGGTTTCCCACGGTTGTGTCTGAAAGGCAAGACATAACTAGCAGAAGAATCTAGGACATTAGCATGTAAATGTGCAATGGGGGTACTTACCTCAGGAACATTCTCATGAGGAGGAGGGTCTTCGGGTAGTGAGGAGTGAGGGGACTCTGTATTTTCAGGTTCTCTATTTTCGGCCTCTTCATGTACAGGTTCTTCATTTTCGGGCATTGCACATGTTAATTCTGCATTTTCTGGTGATGCATCTTGCGGTTTAACTTTGCTAGTTCCAGTTTCATGCTCACTCACAGGAGCCATCAACCACTAATTCGGTTATTCCACTTGAGTCTCTCCCTGAAAGGAAGAATTGGGTACCAGTGAAGAGTAAAATGTCTCGGACTCAAGAAACGTGACGTCCATGGTGATATAAGTTCGGTTGGTAGTGGGATCATAACACCGGAAGCCCTTTTTATGTAAACCATATCCCAAAAATAAGCACCTAACTACACATGGATCCAGTTTGGAGACGGACAAAAACAACACACCCGAAAGTTCTAAGAGGAAACATCAATGTAGTATTCAGGGAGGCGTGGGTAGAGAGGATTTGTAAGCGAGTTTTAAAATGGAGAATTTTAGATGGCATACGGTTGATTAAGTACACGGTAGTAGCCACCGCATCCCTTCAATGGCAACTTGGCACCTTTGCTTTAAGGAGTAATGCTCGGGTAGTTTTCATATTGCCCCTTATGAAATTACAAGAAACAATCTCTCTGATGCTCCCATCGTTTAAATACATATAAAAAAAACATTTGAAAAGATAAAGCATATTTATCTGTTTCAAAAAAATATAAATTATTTTTGGAAAATAACAAAAACCTCTTACACTATTTTGCTATAGTACGCATATAGATAGAAACAATGTAAGTCAAAGAATGTGTGTCTTTATTTATTTATTATTATTTGAAAAATAGAGCACGTTATATAATTCTGCAGCCCAAGGGCTGGGCTTAGAATTCTTAAAATACGAACGCCCGGCCCGGCTTGTTACGCCCCCTTCCCCAAACACATATGACAAGTGACAACACACTTTTTCAGTTTTTAACCGAACTTTTACTTTTCTCTCTCTCTCTCTCGCCTCTCTTTTCCAGAATCAGTTTGAACGTGCAGAACGGCGATCTACGCTCTTTTTACCCTCTTGTCTTTCTTTTCCTGTTTCCCTCCTCCGAACTAAGGTGTACTTTCTTCTCGATTTTATGCATGATTTTTGCATGATATTCGTTGCTAAAATTTTTTTTGCATGATATTCGTTGCTTAATAGCAATTGAAAAACCCTTGTTTGAACTGCCCATTATTTATTCTTAGCATGCTTTATTTATTTATTTATTTTTATTTTTTTATAATTACAATTTAACAGACCATTTAGGGTTTTTTTTTTAAACCATTGAACAGACCATTAATGTGGTGGTGGTGGTTGTTGTTGTTTTTTTTTTTTTTTTAATTACAATTTAACAGACCATTTAGGGTTTTTTTTTTTTTTTTAACCATTGAACAGACCATTAATGTGGTGGTGGTGGATGTTGTTGTTGTAGATGTTTTTTTTTTTTTTTTTTTAATTTTTATTTTGTACGATTGAATTCATTATTTTTTATTTTTTTTTGGGTATAAGACAAATTAAAATGCCTTTGAGTTTTTTATTTATTTATTTTATATTTGAGGTTGGTAGCCATTAATGAGCAATAGTGTCGTGGCAATGACCGAAACTTTTTGGGTGAATTACAGCCGTATGTAGGTGTAATAATTCTATATATAGATAGAGGATTTTGGGCGGTGAAACACATTTATTTCCCTACCCACGCATTATCTAATTGTAGATTTACGAATTGGCTACCCTAAACCTACCAAATATTGGATTTCTGTGAAGATCCAAAGAAAATCTGAATTCTTTTTTTACAGCAATTGTCAACTTTACCCCTCCACCTTCTCTTGAAATTTGTTTAAGAGTTACATGATGAATCTTCAAGAGTAAATCTTTTAAGAGTAAGTTCCACCTTCTCTTGGAACTTCTCTCTTGTTTGTCAAATACAATGATTTTCTAAGAGCTCTTGGTTGGATGGCTTTAACAGCTCTACCCAAATTACTTTTCTACTATTGTTATATATATATATATATATCTTGAATTTTATTACAAACACAATGGATTTTGAAAAGACAAATACGCCCAAAATCACCTTTTTCACCTAAGAACCTAAACAATGAAATTAATATTTTTGTTTCATTTAGTCATTTGGTGGTTTTTCGCACCTCCTCTCAAAGGCTTTTTAAATGGCTCTGGGTTTAGTTATGTGAGATTTCAGTCAAATGTTTCACCTTTATCAAGTACTTGTGAACAATTTTACAGGTCTACCTAAATAAATTGATTTCCAGGACTAAGATTGTTGAAAGCTTTCAGCCTCGAGCCGTATATGTTGATCTCTTGTGGTACATTAGATGGGTTGATCATGCGAGTGAGGCTGACATGGGTTGTGGGTTGATCATGCGTCCAACAACTCTTCCTTGTTCCCGAGCTGACGTGGAGCCTCTGGTGCTGAAAGACACATTTCGATTTTATAAAAAGGAATTGAAGATAGAGGAGATTGAAGGGAACAGGTTCATGACCGTGGATGGGAAAGTGTTGAAGTGATTTTTTTGGTCTGTAGTTTTTGGTGCTGTGTTAACAAATGTTTCTCTTTTAATTAGCAGTTCACTCAGGTCTGTGAAGCGCATATCCTTTGTTTAGTCGTATTTGGCTACTCACCGGGTTAGATTTTAACTCTTTACTATCCATGGCCAACTATTTTATTCGCATTTTGGTAGTTCACTTCAGTATTATGTTATGCCTTGTTAGTCTTATATTTTACGGAAATTGTAGTTCACTTTTGCTATTTTATTCGCACTTTGGTAGTTCTCGTCTTATTTTACGCCCTGCTAGATTTTATGTAGTTCACTTTGGCTATTTTATGCGATCTTTGGTTTGGTATGGACCTTTGTTTTCGATAAAAATGTAGTGTTTGATCTAGTTTGATCAATTATTACTACTGTAAAGGGGTTGGCTATTTATGCTCAAACCAGCTGACTTTTCTGGTTTTGGTTGGAATTAAAATGTCGTTGCATTTGTTTTGTTGTCTTATGACAATGCAAGTAAGATTTGACCTAGTTTGATTTATTATTACTGGAGGGTTGGAAATTTATTTCCAACACCCATGAACCCGACCACTGATTATTGTGTTTTGGGCAGTGATTTTAGAGGCAATTTTCTCCTCATGAAAGTGTTATTAAGATTCAAATTAATCACAGGATACCGGACGTGGTCAAGCTTGGCTTTGCTAAAGTGAAATGGCAAGGGTATCATCTCATTTTTAAATAAGATGCCCTGGGTCTGACCACCCCCTTAATTGACATAGGAGAGACACCCATCCAGGGGAAAGAAAGAAAAGGTTCATTGTAGCCACCCGTGCCCGTGAATGGGCGCGTTTTGCATGGACGATTGTGCTTGGTGCACTGGTCACATTGAATATCCGTTCATGCCCCTGTATGGGTGCATTTTGAACGGACGGTTGTGCTTGGTGGCACACTGAATATCTATTAATGCCCGCGTGATTAGACGGACCTAGTGATTGGCTCCTTGCCATAAATAAATACGAAGCAACCGGCACTGGATCGTTTGGATTTTTCAATGATTGCCCTTATCTATGTGCTAAGAATATATTAGACATAAGTGAGATGCCTAAGTCAATTTTACGTATCGACTTTAAAATCCTCAGTTGAAACCCATTATATATATATATTTGATCATCGTCTTTGATCCGTACAACACTTCGTGACTAGTAGATTATTGCGGTATGGAATTCTTTGACAAATATCTACCAAATATATGGAGAGAGAGAGAGTCTATTGACATAGATTGACCCATGGATCCGACATTGTTTGGGCATCTAAAAAGAAAATTATTATCTTTTGCTAACGAATTTTGATCTTTGGGTTTCTAACTCCTTTTTTCTGTTTTGAATCACTTGGACAAGCTAGACCCCTTGTCAGTAAAAATTTATGCCATTATCACAAAATTGCATATTTATAATAAATATGTATTTTTAGTCATTTTATTATTTTATTTTGGATAGGACTTACCACATACCTACTAACTGCCAACATGATCCAATTACAAATGCACAAATAATCTACAATTGCTAATGAGATCCAATTTCAAACACAACAATTACAAAATCTGAGAAATAATAAATAAAGATGATAATTTTCTACTAAAGATGATAATTTTTCTTTGAAATAAATTCAGTCACCCCTCTTATTTCCGGAAAATCTGATTAAAGAAAAATAATGGTGGATACCAGAGAGAGAAAGAGAGTGTTTCATGTCCATGGGTTAAAGAGAACGACCCAATTCAAACAACTTTTGGATGAGGGTTGAGCTTTATCTCTGGCATACGGGCTATTGGTGGGCTGATTTTGCAAAGACATTGGGTTCAATTCATTAAATACTTTGGAGTTAATTAAGTCAATAATGATAGCCCACTGAGTGTAATAGTTTCTTGCCATTGTCATTAATATATTATATATATTTTTTAATATAGTAATTTTTAATATATCTATTTTTCAACCCATCACATTTGACTGAAAAAAATAAATATTTAATATTATATATTGAAAATAAATGTAATAGTGTCAAAAATCATTACAGTATCACCCTTCCATCTTCTCTCCTCCTATTTCAACAAAATACCTATTCCTCTTCTCCATCTAAGATATATTATGATAGGAGTATATATATAGATAGTAAATATGTAACGTCTAAGATATATTATGATAGAAATAATGATTCAAATAATATATCCATAAATATTATTTAACTTATGTAATAAAGATTATGTAACTCATATGATAATATATATAATAAATATCATATTAAATATTTTTTTAATGTTTTTTTATTAAAGTATCTATAACAATCCCCATCTATTTTAATAAAAATAAATAAGTAAAATATTTTATACTATGCAATCGGTGTAGGTGTTGTCCGGGCTTGAACTTTGTAGATCTCTACTGATGCAAGTTGATTCAAACTTCTCTTTATCTTCATTTCCCTCCACTTCATATCACCCGTGTCCCAATGAGATCCAGTTAGCCCTCCATGAAAAACACAAAAAACAGTATGAGAAAATTAGTTTGTGTAAAATGCTATTAAATAATTCAGCCAATATGATGATTTCCTTTTAGCTTCTATATGCTAATTTTGTTAGAGATAACCATCAAGAATTCCACCTTAATTGATCTTCTAAACAAACAGAGAGAATAAGAAGATAATCAGTTCGATGGTGATGTGTGGAAATGGTAGATATGTAATTAGCATTAAAATGTAAACATATGAATTATAGGTAACAACAGCTAGGTGCAGTAAACAGCAGTTATAGCATTAATCAATTAATATAAAATTTGATTAAAGCTATATAAACGTCTAGTACGTTCCATGCTATGAATTCACAGCCATGTAACCAAAACCAGTAATTCTTTTTCCTTTTAGAAACGTTTGTCGTAAAAGCAGTCTTCATTGATTTTAACGGCTACTAATGTGTGCAATACAACAATTGGTAATTCTTTAAAGAGCACACATTTTCCTTCACTTTAAAACTCGTAATGGAATAGCAATAAATAACCACTAAGTACCACAAATTTTTTTTTTTTTTTTCAAATAATCGTCAAGTTAAATAGCTATTGCCTACATAGAAATTAATTATACCATATGTTGCTATGGTAAGATTCAAATCC